GGAGGGCAGGGGATGGGACTCGATGACCTCTCGAGGGCCCTTCCAGTTCTAGTGTTCTACAATTCTATGATTCCGTGCTTCCCAGGTGTGACGTGCCCAATGCTTGGAGGCTGCTTTGAAAATCTTGATTGCAGTGTCTATTTGGCCAATTCGGGCGCAGCTCTTCACTTTGAGAGCCCAGCCCATCAGACCTGAACCAGGCGCACTGTGCTAAGGGTGGGCTGTTCACTCACTGCAGGAGCCAGGATGGCTCCCCTAAGAAGGGGTAATTTATCTGCTTTGCGATAGCAGGATGAGGCCCTGGCTGCATCCAGCCGGACTTTGCAATCCCTTGGGTGGATTGCATCAGGATGGGTGTTTCTGCCGTGAGTGTGGCAAAGACAGTAGCAACTCGCCAGTGTCAGACAACAGAAATCCCCCTAGGAGCTAGCATCAGGGGAGACCCGCCACCTCCTGCAAAGGATACAAAAGTGTAACGGACGCTGCGGGGAGAAGGAACCGGTTTAGAGAGCAGCGTGGTTAACGATCAGAGGGCTGGACTTGATGACCTCCTGAGGTCTCTTCCAGCCCTGGGATTCTATGTATCAGGGCTGGTCCAGGTTTCTCCCTCCTGTCTCAGCCGCGGGGGCTGTAGCTTCAGCTTCCACTTGAGAAACCGGCCTGAAATGTCTTTGATTCTATGAGGATGTGAGGTCTTGACCACCTCCTCATTGGGGGGACCCAGGCCCGTGTCCAAGGAGGCTTCTGGGGATCAATGAGAGAAAAGAGCCTGAATCCTGCTTGGCAAAGCCCAAGAGGTTCCCGCTAGACCAGAAGGCTGAAGAAGCTGTGGGCGAAGGTGAGTGTTACCCCTTGGCTTGCGGCTGTCACCTGGGCGTGGGAATCCGGCTCCCTCCTCTCGCTTTTTTCCCAGACACTGTTGGTTGGGAAACAACGGTCCAAAGTCCAATCGGCAGGAACTTGGATGGGTTTATCAAGCACGTATGTTCCAAACCCTTGCACACCAGCTGGGCCTGTCTCTATAGCTTCATAGAGTTTTCCTCTTCTCCTCACCACTGCTCGATCCCCCTTCTTCTCCTTGCCCCTAGCGCTGCACGACCTCAAATTTCCCTCCTTCTCCTCTGTTTTCACAGCAAGCGGCATTAGTGCTGCTAGCACTAATATCCATTATTAATATCCAATATTAATACCCTTAATATCCATTCTGGGGGGGGCTTGGATCTGAGGGTGAAGACTTCTGTAACTGGCAGGAGGTGTAAGGCGCAATGGTCCCTCTCCTCTTTTGCATCCCTGTGTGGATTTTTTCCACCTCCTGTGTGGAATAATTTTATGTGCACCAAGGCATGTGCAAATGTGCACCACTGGTAGAAACAAAACCTAGCGGTGGGAGCTCTGCTAATCGTCTGGGCAGCGTTTGACTCTCTCCTGTGTGGCTGCCCGAGCTCACAGCTGACAGGGAACACCGGTGAGGAGTAGGGTTACTTTTGGCCACGATCACATTGGGCAAACTTTGCATCTGCTTCCACACTCCCCCTGCCTTCCAGTCTTGGGTTTCCACTTGCTTCCTTGCTTATTTAGCCTGACAACTTAGTCTCTGCCTTATTTACTTCCCACTCTCCTAACATTAGCTGCCTGTCTGTCCGTCCCCGCTAGATCCCCATTGGTGTTAATATCGCCATGTGACTGACAGGGGAAACTGAGGCATCGGGGAATGTCTCGCTACTGCCCACCCTCCTTGGCAGAACCTGGAAGGGAATTATAGATGCTAGAGACAAATAAAGGAAAACTTCACACACACACACACCCACACACACACACACAGCCACACACACACACACACACACAGCCCATGGAGTGGCTTCCCCCTTGTGCATTTATTCATGTCTGCTCCACTTTGATTTTCAATCACCTCATTGATTAGGTTACCACAGTAACCACTGTAGAATAATCTGCTGAGACGGACGCATCGCTGACAGGTGTATGCCCCACCTGTGTGAAGAGGGCGGGGATCTCACAACTTCCCTCGATCACTTGCCCGGGGGTGGAATTAACCCCATGGACTGAAACGTGACTCCAGATGCCTCATCTGAATTTCCCTTGCCGCAAAGTAACGGCTGACTTCTTGTCTGACCTCCAGTGCCCATGGGGAACAATTGGTCAGTCTCCACCTTAGAACATCCCGTAGCCTCTTTCCAGACAGATATCAGACTCCTGCCCCGTCTCTCCCTGTTCCACAAAAAATAGCCAGTATTTTCATGTAAATCGTAACGTAATTTTTTAAAAGATCTTTGTAAGTTCTTGGCCCAAAAAACGTTCTGTGGTAATGAGTTACAGGATCTGTGTGCTGGCTTTCAAGCAAGCCAGTTCCACATTCTCACACACATCCCAAATGTTTTATCTTCTAATCTAAGAATCAGAGAATCTTAGAGCACTAGAACTGGAAGTCCAGTAACTCACGGCAGGACCAAGCACCCTCTAGACCATCCCTGACTGGTGTCTCTCCAACCTGCCTTTCAATATCTCCAGAGATGGAGATTCCACAGCCTCCCTAGGCAACTTATTCAAGTGTTTCACCACCCGGACAGGTGGGAAGTTTTTCCTAATGTCCCTTGCCTCCCATTGCTGCTTGTGCTGTCCTCAGAGGTCAAGGGGAACAATTTTTCTCCCTCTTCCTTGTAACACCCTTTTAGATACTTGAAAACCGCCATCATGTCCCCGCTCAGTCTTCTCCTTTCCAAACTCAACAAGCCCACTTCGTGCAGTCCTCCCTCATAGGTCATGTTCTCTAGACCTTTCATCATTTTTGTTGCTCTTCTCTGGACCCTCTCCAATTTCTCCACATCTTTCTTGAAATGCAGCACCCAGAACTGGACACAATCCTCCAACTGAGATCAAATCATCTAATATGCACCCTACCTTTCCCCTTATGATTAAAAAAGCACATCTAGAAGTGAAGGGTGGAAATAAATGTCAGCCAATTCCAATTTATCCTTTGCCGATGTTTTAGACCAGTGTTTCTCAACCAGTGGTATGAGTATCCTTAGGGGTACTCGAGAGAAGTCTGGGGTGGTGCGTTAACACAATTGACATTCGGAAAAAACTGAATTTTTGCTTTACGTTTTACAGCCTTTTGTTATTTTTGTACTTTTTACACCCAAAAATGTCATCGCCCTCCCGGCTACAATTAATTTGTTTAAACAAATGTGTTGCAATGGTAGAAAAAAACGTCGAGTGTCTGAAAACTGTAGGTACTGGGAGTACTTAGATTTTTTTTTTAAAAAGGGGTAGTTTATAAAAAAATGTTGAGAAACACTGTTTTAGAATGTTTTCTCTCCTTGCTTACTTGTCCTTTAGAACTGATTGAAAATCAGTTTTATGAAAAACATATCCATTTAAAAGTTATTTCCATTTATCAGTTAACATTTTTTTTCAAGCTCCCTAGGTTCTTGTCCCTGTTTACCACTGCATGGCATAAAATTAAAAAGAAGAGGAACATTGGGGGAAATGTCACAATTATTTGGCCATAAAGTAACTTTAAAAAGAAATCCCGAGATTTTTTTTTAATTTCTGTATCATAAATATGAGATTTTCCTTTTACCTCTCCATAAATTGTTCAAAATTATGAAGTTCAGCGTGGGAAATGCAAAATAAAACAGGGCTCGTGAAGTGATAATGAAATACCTCAGACGGAATGGGAGGGCAGATTTTCAGATTCATGTTACTTTATATCTCTCGTGAATGTTCCGGTTTACTAGCCTAGATGTCAACAGAGATTTTTGATCATTTGGTTTTCAGAATGTCGCTAGGCAGGTTGGATTAACAGCATCCTTTGGCAGAGAAAGCTGGAAATTCTTAAGCAGTGATCCCAAAGCAGAACCAGGAGGTGGTGGAACAGGGCACACGAAACCAAGCCAGGACATAAAAAAGGCTCAGGAGGGGAGTGTTTGGACCGGCAATGCCCCATTTATGGAGCTTTGCTTTCTGCTAGGGATGAGTGAAATCCCTGAAAGCCGTTTCTCAGACAAAAAAATGGTAGGGTGTTTTCCCAGCCACCCCGAGACTTGCTGAAATCAGGGAACCCAGAACCCGCGGCCATGGGGCAGGTTTGCTGCACAAAGTGGGGGAGTGACTCCATGCAACTGGAAGGGGTGGGATCATGGCCACAAGGGGCGGGGCTTTGGACAGAAGGGGCGGGGCAGCCAGTCCAGGGCTGGGTAGCCAGTCTTCAGCATTGCTCAGACCACGTCACACCCCTCTGCAGCCTGGAACACATGACTTTGGGCTCCACCAATGACTGAAAAGGCCCCTGGTGTGGCTGGCACCATAACGGTGACCAGAAATCCCAGGCTCTTTTGACTGATCAGGCCCAGGGAGAATGGCTCCTTTGGTCTACCTGCTGGCCAGGCGTTAGGTTGTCTCACTCGCTCTCCAAAGTTGTCACCTCCCATGGTGTGGCTCCAACACCGTCTGTGAGCTCTGCCCAGCCTTCCAGCATCTGTCTCTAGCATCTATAATTCTCTTCCAGGTTCTGCCAATGACAGTGGGCAATAGTGAGACACACCCTGCCTCAGTTTCCCCTGTCAGTTACATGGCAATATTAACACGAATGGGGACCTAGAGAGGATGGCTGGCCTATTGCTCCCCTATCCCCTCAGCCACTCCAGGACCTACCCCACCTCCCTATTTTCAGGGTGTCCCTTAGCCTGCCTTTCCTATGCAGGAGCCACCTCCAGTTATGAGACAACCAGTGCTGGCTGTGTGGCTGCTCCTAGGACTCAAACACCTCAACCTACACTCCCCAGGCAAATGCCCTCGCCCCTAAGCCACTCCAGGCAGGGTATATGCTCACGTGCATGTGGGGGATGGAGACTCCAAACCACAACCCTATCCTCCTCAGGCAAGTGCTGTATCTCCTAGTCCACCCAGGAACCCACCTCCCTACCTATTGAGTGTAACCCGGGCCACTCCCGTTCTGTTGCAGAGATCGGTTCGTGTTCCCCATGGCAGACGTGGTGCCGAGAAACCAAACCTCCCTCAGCCAGTTCATCCTCCAGGGATTTGGGAAGCTCCCCAAAATCCAGCTCCTTCTCTTCCTGCTGTTCCTAGTGATCTACCTTGTGACCGTGGCCGGGAACCTCCTCATGGTGGCCCTGGTGGTGGCTGACCAGCACCTCCACACCCCGATGTACTTCTTCCTGGGGAACCTGTCCTGCTTGGAGACCTGCTACAGCTCCGCCATCCTGCCCCGGATGCTGGCCGGGCTCCTGACGGGGGACAGGACCATCTCTGTGGGCGGCTGCATCACCCAATTTTGCTTTGTTGGCTTCCTTGCCTCCACCGAGTGCTACCTCCTCGCCGTGATGTCCTACGACCGCTATCTAGCCATATGCAAGCCCCTGCATTATGCAACACTCATGCGTGGCAATTTCTGCGTCCAGCTGGCATCTGTGTCTTGGATAAACGGGCTTCTAGCTACAGTCGTAACCATGTCTCTTATGTCGCAATTAACGTTCTGTGGCCCCAATGAAATTGATCATTTCTTCTGTGAATCTACACAGATGATAAATCACTACTGCAATGACGTTTACCGTATGGATCTCGTCATTACCGTCGTGGCTGCTATATTGACCCTACCCCCATTTGCGTTAACGCTGATGTCCTACGTGTGCATCATCACCACCATCCTACGTATCCCATCCACCACTGGACGGCAAAAGGCCTTCTCCACCTGCTCCTCCCACCTTATCGTGGTGACCATCTTCTATGGCACCCTGATCGTTGTGTATCTGCTGCCAAAATCCAACACCCTCCGGGACCTCAACAAAGTGTTCTCTGTCTGTTACACAATTCTGACACCGATGGTCAACCCCTTCATCTACAGCCTGAGAAACACAGAGGTGAAAGGGGCTCTGAGGAAACTTGTCCATAAATACATGGATTTGACTAGAATTCAGAAATGACACTGTCACTTTTGGAAGATGAAATAAAAATGATGGCAGCTGACTGAGTGTGTAATGCTCAAGTGTTGTGTAGACCCTTATTTCATGTGGGACACTGGGTAATGTGAGCTTCTTATCTCTGAGGATGGGCTAAGGTGTTCCTGTCACAATCAGAACCAGGATATCCGTGTCTGGAATAAAATCGAGCTCCATTGGCCATGTTGAGGCTGGGTAGATACTATCACGGTGAATTCCACAGACTAAAGCAAAGCCTTTGGTCATAGTCATAGAATCCCAAGGCTGGAAGAGACCTTAGGAGTTGAGTCCAAAGCAGAAGCAACCTCAACTCAATCATCCCAGCCAGGGCTTGGTCAAGCTGGGACTGACACCTCTAGGGATGGAGATTCCACCCCCTCCCTAGGGAACCCAGCCCAGCGTTTCCCCACCCTTCCAGGGAAATAGTTTGCCCTAATATCCAACCTAGACCTCCCCCACTGCAACTTGAGACCATTGCTCCTTGTTCTGCCCCCACTGAGAACAGCTTCTCTCCAGCCTCTCTAGAACCCCCCTTCAGGGAGTTGCAGGCTGCTCTCAAATCCCCCCTCACTCTTCTCTTCTGCAGATTACGTAAACCCAAATCCCTCAGCGTCTCCTCATAGGTCATGTAAGTCTCCTCGTACCTAGACCTCCCCCACTGCAACTTGAGACCATTGCTCCTTGTTCTGCCCCCACTGAGAACAGCTTCTCTCCAGCCTCTCTAGAACCCCCCTTCAGGGAGTTGCAGGCTGCTCTCAAATCCCCCCTCACTCTTCTCTTCTGCAGATTACGTAAACCCAAATCCCTCAGCGTCTCCTCATAGGTCATGTAAGTCTCCTCGTAAGTTATCATTTTGGTTGCCCTCTGCTGACCCCTCTCCAATGCACCCACATCTTTTCTGTAGTGGGGGGCCCAGAACTGGATGCAATACTCCAATTTGTCTAGATCATTCTGGACCCTATCCCTGCTCTCTAAGGGTATGTCTACGAGGTGTAACGATAGTTCGGAAAAGGAATCCTAGTCCGCACTATCTAGTCCATGCTGCGTGTAGCCGCGCGGCACGGAGTCCGCACTAGCGGACATTTAAAAATGGTGGCGCCCGGCAATATGCTATTGAAGCCCGGGAAATTCAAATCCCGGGCTTCATTTGCAACTCCGGTTGCCTACATTACCACCCTAGTTCGAACTAGGTGGTAGTGTAGACATACCCTAATATAGCTACTTCTCCCCTTAACTTTGAGTCATCTGCAAACTTGGCTAGGCTGCAATCCATCCTACCATCTAGGTGATTAATAAAGACATTCAACAAAACTGATCCTAGGACCAATTCTTGGGGCATGCCACTTGACACTGACTGCCAACCTGACATCGAGCCATTGATCACTACCCATTGGGCCCGACAATCTAACCAGCGGTCTATCCACCTTACAGTCTGCCCAGAATGTCTCTGCATGTTCTGACCATGTCAACCATCACATTGGGTACCCAATGCTAGCTCTGTATCCCTGATCATGAGGGACATCTCAAGAGGGCAAAGCTGTATGTTAAAACGTGCTAGTCCCAGCCTCGCCACTGAGCTACTGGTGGCATTTCAGCTCTGCTTCAGCTCAAGCTAACACGAGGGCCAATTGCAGCCCGGATCTCGCTGAGGGCGGCTGAGGGCTGGAGGCAGCCTTGTACTACCTATGCTATTGCCCCAGGGCGCCATGGCTGGCAGTGCCCGAGCTAGGGCAGTTGACATTTACTGAGGTGTGTCTATTATGCATGCTACATCCCACCCCCTGTGGGCAGTGTGGACACACCCCTATGGGCTTCTGGAATCTCACCCATTATACATTGAAAATATCCAGGAATAAGAGCAGACCCCCAACTCTGTGCAGGGAAACCGGCTCATTCGCATGTCTGTGGAAGTGCACCCACCAGGTGGAACCCGACACCCTGCACAGGTACATGGTGGCACCCAACAGGCCAGGATCTGGGGTGAGGCTGAGAAGGAGAGCTCTGGGCTGTAGGGGGGGCTCCGGCTTTGTGGGGGCAGAGCAGTGGCAGCAGGGCCTTCCCTCAAGCAGCTCCCGGTCAGTGGTACAGAATGGGTGGTGGGGAGGGGGGCGCTAAGGCCACTTCCGGTGGCTCCTGACACCGCAGACTATGCTGCTCCCCCAGAAGCAGATGGCAGCAGGTTCCCAGCCAATGGGAGTGTGGGGCTGAGGGCAGAGCCCTATGCACTCTCTGCCCCCCAGTGTAGGAGCTGGGCCTGCTGTCAAACCCCTTCCCCCGCTTCTCACCTGGCCACCCTGCAGCAAAGAGTCCTAGTGCCCCCCATTCCACCTCCCCGTCCTGCTGGCCATTCGCCTCTTGAGCAGCTGCTCATTGCACCTCCCCCTCATCGAATCTTCTGCCGGCTTCTGACTCTTGGCCCAGACTGTCGCTGGAAATTCCCGCATCCCCTGGAGGAACCATAAAAAAATGAGAGAGACTCCTCACGAAGTGGGGTTCTTGTTCGATCACAGGAGCAGGGGAGAGAAACAGGCTGAACCAGTCTTATAGCCCACATCTGGAGGGCAGGCGGCCAGCTGGCTCAGAACTCTGCCCTCTCCAGTTAACTTCACAGCACTTTGGCAGGGGATCCCTTGGCCATCCACGGTTCTTTACACTGACCGTGTCTCTCCTATTGAACCGAGTTAAACATGGCCTGACTTGTCTGCATTCCCACAAGCTGTGGTGATCATCTCTCACAAGTCCTGCATTTAATGCAAACACAATTTGCGACCCAACAACAGCCAAATTGGCTGCTAGGGGCAAAACCCCCTTGTAACAGGTGACTCTCTAGCAGACCTCAGCAGAGAAGGGGCCAAGCTGTATTTACATAACCACACCCAGGATTTCTTTCCCATTCCAGCTGGTGGTCATGGAAGCATTAATTCAGACCCTACTTACATCGGCAGGGGGGCTGTTGGGAGCAGCAAGTTGTTTCAAAGCTCCCCCATTGCATAGACTTCAAATTACATCATGCAAGCCTGAAAAATTGCTAAGTGCACAGAATTTCCATCCTTAACAAATGTTTTAGTCTGAAGGTCGTGCCCAGTCAGAAAGCCCCTGTGTACAGGAATGCAAACTGTGAAGAAAGAAAGTTCCTGGGGAATGGGAAATGATACAAGAGCCTTACCTAACAAGGGGTGTTCCAATAATAAAATAAAATGGAGAGACATGTTTCTGATACTGAGCCACAAGGGTTTAAGCCCCAGAAAGCCAACTCACCCACTTTCAACCTTGAAAGACAGGTTGGTACCTCATGCTTACGTTTCGTGTGTGTTAGAGTGTATTTACACTGCACCATGATTTCAAAATAGTTCACATTGTTTCGAAATAACAAGGTGAGCACCCACACAGCAAACCCGTTACTTCGAAATTATTTTGAAATAATGGGTTTCTTATTCCAGAATAATAAACCCTCATTTCACGAGGAATAACACCTGGTTTGAAATTACTATTTTGGAATAGCGATAATGTAGATGCTCCACAGCCGCTATTTCGAAATAGCCCCTCCCCAGAGCCATTCAAAGTGATTACTCCGCAGTGCTTCCTGTGGCTCTAAATTGAGGTAGCGCATCCACACTGAGAGAGGCTGCCGTGGACTAATTTCAAGGCTTCTCTGTAGTGTGGACATATTATTTCAAAACAGTTATTTCGGGAGTTATTTCAAAATGCACTTGGCGCATAGACACGCCCTTAGCAGGTGCACACAAAGGGTTACTGCCTGTCCCTATATTGTATTCATGATCGAAAGGAGACATTAACACTGAGATGAACCAGGAATGCTGTAATGCCTTTGTCCTTGTGTCTTTTTGACGTCTGCTCCTCCATCCTGCTAATTATTGGTGCTTCTTAGGAAATTGGAGGTTTTATTGAAAATCACAATATTGCTTCTTGTTCTATCCTCAGAGGCCAAGGAGAATAATTTTTCTCCCTCCTCCTTGTGACACCCTTGTAGATACCTGAAAACAGCTCTCATGTCCCCTCTCAGTCTTCTCTTTTCTAAACGAAACAAGCCCAATTCTTTCAGTCTTCCCTTGTGAGTTATCTTTTCTAGACCTTTCATCATTTGTGCTGCTCTTCTCTGTACCTTCCCCAATTTCTCCATCTCTGTCCTGACATGTGGTGCCCAGAACTGGACACAATACTCCAGTTGAGGTCTAATTGGTGCAAAGTTAGAGCGGGCAGCCCCGAGAAGATCATGCAGATGCATACATCCTTTTGTGAACGTAACTCAAGAAAAACCAACTCCTCCCTGCTATGTTAGCCATGTGTTAATGTGTTTTGGGGCTTCTGATCTTTGAACTGATGACACACAATGTGGAAGTTTCAAACCAATGGAACTTTTCTGTTTTTACAGGTCTCTGTTTCACTTGCATAGGATGGATCCTAAATATTCGTGTATACCCATCACCAACAACCTGATGTTTCACTTCCCTTCAGATTATGTGTGGTTATTTGTGGTTTTGTTTGCTGCCTGTGTTGCTTTATTACTTTATTACTGTTCTATGTTTCGGCACCTTCAAATTAAGGGTTGGCTTCCCAGACAAATAGTATAAACCTGAGTGAATACCTTTTACTTTACTTTCCAGTATGTACATATTGTATTAATATCTGAAAGGGGAGCATAACTATTTCCAGTGGACTCTTAGATTTGTTTAGCACCTTAAAACTGAGCTAATGTGCAAATAATATGCATTCAAGAGAGAGAGTTTCATGAACTGTAAATTTCTGTAGCATGCTACTGTTTTGGCAGATACTTCTTTTTTTGAGAGCAGGTTTAGTGGAGATTTTGAAGATTTCATGGTGTATGGGAATAGGTTGTTAAATTGATGCTCTGATGCATATTTTTTGCACTTTTACTTTAATGGCTGTGTCTTTGATTTATTTGTCTAGCTGTTTTCAGTATGCCCCATTTTGGCATTTTTATTAGCTTGAGTTGTTAGAAAGGATGACAAAGTACATGCCGTCCAAGGGTAATGTTAATTTTCTTTTTATTTGCTATTAAACATTTTAAGCATTGATTCTTGTTTGAATATGTTTTGTGTCTTCCGTATCTACAAACAGTTTAAAATATAGATTTATTGCCCGGTTTTTTTTTTTTGTTCTGAGGGTGCCTTAATATTGGTGTTGCACATGAGAAAATTCAACCAGCTCAAAAGAAAATTCAACCCACCCAAGGAACAGCCCCAGAGGAAATGTGTCATCCAGGGCTGGGCACAAATTTTCAGCCTTTCTGGAGTGTGCGCCAAACAGAGACACGGGATTAAAACGCCTTGGAGGAGGAGGAGGTGAGCTGCCGGATCTCCTCCAGAATCCTTCCTTTGTTGTTGGTGACATTCATCTTCGCCCTTGTGAGGAGTTCCTTGACGTCTTCCTTTCCGTAGGACAATGTGAAGGTGGAAAACCTCGTTCGGAAGTCGTGTATTTCACCTGGAATAAAACGGGTAGGTCAGAGGCTCAGTGAGGAAAACAGTGATGCTGCTTTTAACACCTCCCAACCAGAACGTGGAATACAAGAAATTTCAGAGGCAGGAGGATGTCATGGCCAACTTGTCAGGGTTGTATGAAATCATAGATGGGTTGGGCTGGAATGGACCATCCGAGGTCACCCACCACCAGTTTTCTGAGCTGAGACAGGACCAAGCAAACCGAGACCAACTTCCAGTGTGTCTGGTGGCAGGAGAGCAGGGATTTTGTGATCCCCAGTGTGGCCGGATTCCGGCATTTAAGTGGCTAAACCAGCCCCTACATCCCCTTTGGGAATCTAGAAGAGAGATGTACAATTAAGTTACCACTGCAATTCTTGTTGTTGAAGAGCGGGAAGTGCATGACTGTAGGAACATCCTTTCCCTTGAAGATGTAGCAGTCGGAGGGGTTATTTTGGCTTTTGATCTCTTCTGGATTTATCTTGGGAAATGGGATCTGATTTGTCTCACAGTACTTGGCAGTTTTCTTGAGGGTCTAGGAGGGAGGGAAAAGTGATTTTAAAATAAATTAATTACAAAAATACGATCTTCCCCTGATACAATGGGATGCCACCGATATGCACAGGCTACAAAGTTAAAAACACCTCTACACTAAGGAATAAAAATAGAGATGTAGCCGTGTAAGTTTTTCCTTTTGATTTTGCAAGATCAGACTATGTAGCACTTTAGAGACTAACGAGATGGTTCAATAGGTGATGAGATTTCATGGGCCAGACCCACTTCCTCAGATCATATTCTGGAAGAGAATTGGCACAACCATATATACCAAAGGAATACAATGAAAAAAGTGAACATGTTATTAAACTGACAAATCAGATTTAGTACAGAAGGTGGGGTGAGGGAGAGGCGGGGAGGGAATCGCGATTTATGAGTCAATGAATGGCTAATCAGGGGTGATAAGTGGGAAGCTATCTTTGTAATGGTTAAAGTAATTAGCATCTTTGTTAAGGCCCATTCGTAAAGTGTGACATTTGGTATTCTGAAGTGGGATCGGAGAAGAGAGGTCTGTAAAATGTGGTGTTGGAGAGTTGTCTATGAATGGGCCTTAAAGATGGTGATCCACTGTCAATCAGAGCTGCGATCTCCTGTACCCATGGAGACACAGGTAAATACAGAATTGTGGGGGCCCACCAAGGGCTATCCCTGATGGACCGGATCTGGTTCATGGGCCAATATTTGCCTGCCCTAGACATATATCCACACATCTCACCCAAGGGTCACCCAATGAAATGAAAAGGTAGCAGGTTTAAAACAAACAAAAGAAAGTACTTCATGCAGCGCACACTCAACCTGTGGAACTCCTTGCCAGAGGATGTTGTGAAGACGAGGACTTTAACAGTTTAAAAAAGAGCTAGATAAATACATGGAGGTTAGGTTACGTCCATCAAAGATTATTATCCAGGATGGGTAGGAATGGTGTCCATATCCTCTCTTTGTCAGGGGCTGGGAATAGGTGGAAGGGGAGGGATCACTGGATGATTCCCTGTTCTGTTAATTCCCTCTGGGGCACCTTGCATTGGCCACTGTCGGGAGTCAGGACACTGGGCTGGATGGACAAAGCAACTTTCAGGGCACCGGCAGGACTGCTTCTGACCACAGCACAACCTCGTAGGATCGTGGATCACAGGCTGGGTGTTTGTGCCGCGCCGGAGCCTGATGGGGACATAGTGCAACGTCACAAGTAGTAAGAGACGCTACCTCGAAGGGGTCCCCGGCGCTGAAGTCGAAGGAGAGGATCAGTTTCACCCCCCTCGCAGGGCGCAGCACCAGGGGGTAGGCGGAGTTAATAGCCAGGCCGGCGTCGATCAAGTTGAGGACCTTCTCCTTCACCAAGTCAGTGGTTTGGGCGATGGCATCACCTGCCCAGATACAGCCACGTGTTGGCCTAGGCCGTGATAGTTCCTCTGGGCCTCAGTGCCGGGGGGGGGGGGGGAAATTTTTT